ATGGGTATCGCAATACTGTGCCAGACGCCCATCAGTGGAGGAAGCTCCTACCTAACTAAGGTTAGGATGGCGATTTCAAGCTGAAGTGTGTGGAAGCCACAGAAATATGTGATTATCCCTGCTGAACTGAATAACAGGCTGGGGGTAGATCCTATGGCACGGGGCTTGCATGCAGCATGACTGAGTTCTGGCAGGTTGGTACCATTCTCCTGACCGGTTGAGGGCTGGTCATTCTTCTGGAAGGGGAAAGGGGCAACTACCATTGGTATTACATGTCAGCATACCCAGGCAAGGTTTTCGCCCACATTCTTCAGAAACGGGTCCGTGACCACCCTACTATAGGCACCAGAGACCGGGAAGCAAGCGGATTCACTCCTGGCAAGTCCACAACAGCCAGGTCTAGTGTTAGTAATTGTGGAACGCGCCGTGAGTTGGTTGGGGTTTGTTTGCAGCCTACATCGACCTCAAGAAGGCGTTTGACTAAGTGCAATTGAGAATTGCTATGGGAGATCTATTGGAACAGGGGGATTTCGACACGGATTATGGTATAAAACAAGGCCTAATTACCTTTAATGCAAAATGACTGTAAAGTGTGTTGGGTGCTGTCAACTTCTTTCCTGTTAATCAGGGTTGAGGCAAGTTGTGTCTTGCACCAACACTTTCAACACCTGCATGAACTGGATAATGGACAGAGCTAACTACCCAAAGCAGTTGTGGAGCCAACACTGGGCAATATTAAGGTCTCAGACCTTGACTTGATGAGGATGTTGCTATCATATCTGAGCCCCTGGACTCACTGGTAGCAGCGCTTGATGCCAATGCGGCAAAAAGCCCTTGGGCCTAGAGGTGTCCTGGACTAAGGACCAAGATTCAGGACTTTGGGGGCCTGTTAGGAGAACTCGTTCATTCGATACATGCTTGCGGTGAGGATGTTGAAGTCAAAGAACTTTACATACTGGTAGGTGGGCTCTATATCTCTAGGCTGTCAGACCAAGAAAGTCAGTGGACGGATTGGGGCGGGCAGCAAGAGCAGAGCTCAATCACAAGAGCATTTGGACGATGTCTTACCTATGGAAAGGACCAAGCTACGTTCTTCAATGCTTTTGATACTAAACCTAGACGCTACTAGTGCCTGAAGTCTGATCCTCCTGATGCTTTTTGTAACAAGTCTCTTTGCGGATCAGGGGTACAGTTGGCAAGACCGTGTCCAACCATTGGCTAACACATGAGATGGTATGGGATCTGTTACTTGCATAATCCAAGATAGCCAACTCTAGGCTATATGGGCACCTCCTTATTTCCCTGTGGATAACCCTGCCATCAGGTTGTCTCTCTGCGAGGGACAATCCTGTGTGGAGGAGGACGTGGGAGGACCTAGGAGGGTCATGGCTTGGGGCAGCTTGATGAGACCTGCTGCGAGGGTTAGAGATGAGCTGAGGGTCTGCCTGGAGACTGCCATGTGGGACCCTTGTGCTAGGAAGCGAAGGGGATGCAGCATGCGCCCCCATGGACATTGCCCTGATGATGATGATAATGCATTTAATACTGGACATAAACACTGCCATTGCTGATTTTCTTTTAAATCTGTGTAAATGGTAATTTATTCAAGCAAAATGCATGTCTGACAACTTAAAACTGTAAGACCTAATGATGGTGCAGATTTAAAACTGTAAAAAGCTTTCGAAATCGGAAGTAATATTAGGATACGATTTTTATAATGGCTCAAATAACAAATTCTTTAAAGTATTGTATTTGCGTGTTTCTAATCGAAATCTCTAGAATTATCTTGAGTTAAAGGCAGCTGTTCAACGGAACCGGGCAGAAGGCTTGTCTAGGTTGTTATGCGCACTAAGCCATTCCTCGTACACACTGGGTTAAGTGTAGTCAAAAGGGGAAAACTTGCGCCTCAAACTCAAAGACTCCATTAGAATTTTAGTAAAAGAGAGAAACGTTATTCAATTATTTTTCGAAGAATTTTACGACAGAAATACTGCTTTATAACTTTCTTTGTGAACAGTGCTTTGTTTAAATAGGAACTTATGCTCTTTTCGTTAGATCTTTTTCGTTACATCTGACTACTTTATTCCCTTTCATATATAAAATGTTATATGCACGGCTGAACTAACCATGAATCCTTTATATCATTAGATGCTGTGAAAGAAATCCATTCTGTAAGACTTTTCTAAATCTGTTTCATTTCTTGTCTTTAGCAGTTGAGGCACTGAAGCTGTGACTCAAGTTTCTCAAGTTCAAGAACAAGCTGCAGTTGAGGCTTAGTGAAGCTGGAATTCAAACATCTCAAGATTCAAGACCAAGTTGGAGTTGAGGCCCATGAAGCTGTAACTGAAGCAGCTCAGGCTCCAAGAACAAGCTGAAGTTGAGGCTAATGAAGCTGAACTGAAGCACTCTCAGGCTCAAGACAACTGAAGTTGAAGCAATGGAAGCTGTCACTGAAGCATCCTACAGGCTCAAGAACAAGCTTGAAAGTTGAAGCCAATGAACTGTAACTGAGGCTTTCCTTCTTTCTCAGGCTCAAGAACAATCTGAAGTTGAAGCCAATGAAGCTGTAACTGAAGGCTTCTCAGGACTCAAGAACAAGCTGAGTTGAGCCAAGAGCTGTAACTGATGCATCTCAGGCTCAAGAACAAGCTGAAGTTGAAGCCAATGAAGCTGTAACTGAAGCATCTCAGGCTTCAAGAACAAGCTTTAAGTTGAGGCCAATGAAGCTGTAACTCTGAAGCATCTCAGGCCTCACGAACAAGCTGAAGTTGAGGGCCAAATGAAGCTGTAAAAAACCTGAAGTTCTCAGGCTCAAGACAGCTGAAGTTGAGCCAATGAACTGTAACTGAAGCATCTCAGGACTCAAGAACAAGCTTTAAGTTGAGGCAATGAAGCTGTAACTGAAGCTTCTCAGGCTCAAGACAAGCTGAAATTGAAGCCAATGAACTGTACCTGAAGCTTGCTCAGGCTCAAGAACAAGCTGAGTTGAGGCTAATGAAGCTGTAACTGAAGCTTCTCAGGCCTCAAGAACCAAGCTTGAAGTTTTGAAGCCAATGAAGCTGTAACTGAAGCTTCTCAGGCTCAAGAACAAGCTGAAGTTGAGGCTAATGAATGCTGTAACTGAAGCTTCTCAGCTCAAGAACAAAAGTGAAGTTGAAGCCAAGAAGCTGTAACTGAAGCATCTCAGGCTCAAGAACAAGCTGAAGTTGAAGCCAATGAAGCGGTAACTGAAGCTTCTCAGGCTCAAGAACAGCTGAAATTGAAGCAATGAAGCTGAACTGAAGTTCTCAGGCTCAAGAACAAGCTGAAGTTGAGCCAATGAAGCTCGTAACTGAAGCTCTCAGGTCAAGAACAAGCTGAAGGTTGAAGCCAATAAGCGTACACTGAAGCTTCAACAGCTCAAGGAACAAGCTGAAATTGAAGCCAATGAAGCTGTAAATGAAGCTTCGCAGGCCAAGAACAAGCTGAGTTGAAGCCAATGAAGCGTAAATGAAGCTCTCAGGCCAAGAACAAGCAGAAGTTGAAGCCAATGAAGCTGTAACTGAAGCTTCTCAGGCTCAAGGAACAAGCTGAAGTGAAGCCAATGAAGGCTGTAAACTGAAGCATCTCAGGCTCAAGAACAAGCTGAAGTTGAAGGCCAAGAAGCTGTAACTGAAGCTTCTCAGGCTCAAGAACAAGCTGAAGCTTCTCAAGATGAAAATTACTTAGGGGACTTATCCGCAGTGATCTGGTGCCCGAAAACCATGCAGATGCTTCATCTAGTTGTGGAAGTGATTACAGAAGATTCAAGCTGAAGAGCCAGAAGAAATTTATAGAAGACAATTGAAAGTTGAACAGACAACTGAGCAAATTCCAGAAAGTATAGTTTCTGCCCAAGCAGAAAAGAAAATGGAAGCAAAAACCTGAAGAGTTGTTACTGAAGCCTCGAGATGGAACAAGTAACCGAAATGCTTCCAGAGGTGAGGCTGTGCCTGAAGCCTTCTGTGCTGAACAAGAAAAACTCCCGTGTATTCCAGAAGGGTCTCAGGTGCAAGAAGGAACTGGCGTGAAACCTCTGTCCCAGAAAGAAGCAGAGGAAGCACCAGTTGCCTCCAGAAAGTGAGGTAGCTCCTGAAGGTCCACTGCAGTTCCCAAAGAACAAAGAAACTATCCTGAAAGAAGTACTGCAGAAGCTTCTCAAGCTGAAGAGGGAAACCTAAAATCTTGAAGAGCAACAGAAGAGGCAAATAGAAGCCGAAATTGTGACGATCATTCTCAATGTTTGATGAGGGCTGGATCAATCGGGAAGTGTAATGGCGATGCTTACAAAACATCAATGATTTGTCTAAGCCACAAATCCAGAAAATGAACAGAAGAGAAAAGGAAATTATTTCTGAACCTGTTGTTGGATGCTAGTAACACCGATGATGAGAATATGGAAGGATGATGGCCAGGAACTACTTCATTGCCACAGACTGAGGAACTTCACCTGCATCAGAATCAACAGAGGTACTGCCACAGAAGCCATTGACAAGGGCAAATTGAGAAGGTTGCCGAAAAGTAGGACTAAAACCAACCAAGACAACAACCAAGCACAGAGCAACAAGTCACAAACACAGATTCAACGAAGCTTAGGAGGAAGAGGGGCTCGTTGGACGCAGGTTGCCGACTACGTGCAAGCCTCTTTAATTTATCAGCCAGCCAATATATACTGCTATGTAGAAGGGCAGAAACCCCTTTTTAGTTTAAAGTTAATTTATATAAGATAATAATACTGAGAAGGTGTGCTTATCGAAACACTTTAGAATAAATACTATATGAAGTATATGACGAAATTCGAAAGGAAAAAAATATGATGTATGGAACAGAAATTCAATTTACAAAGAATAAAAGTAGATTCTGGTAATGTACAAGGATTTATATGTAATTACATATAAGATTTAGGGCATTTAAATGTTTTAAAAGTTTCAGAAACAATAAACATCTCTGCAAGTATAATTACACAACCTAAACTGCTTATTGTTGATAAGCTTTTACAACATGGATATGCATTAATGCCCAAGTATGGAATACAGTCTGTCAAAAGATTTATGCACTACTAGATTATTCGTAGGTGGAAATGTGCTCTTTGCTTATGGTTCCATGACTTTTCACCTTCAGGAAGATTTAAGTATTTCGATCAAGCTTTCTCCTGTTCTATGTATGTTGTTTAAGTCCTATTGTATCTCTTTATATTTATTAATTCAACTAGTACGTAGTGCCTATTGCATTACATTTTACCTAG